GCCTTTCAGGCCTTTTTTATTGTCATTATAGTATTACGGGGAACCACGTAGCAGCCACATCCGTGCTCAAGCCTCCAACGAGGGAACATGCGGGAGCTGCACCCACCAGCAGGTGCGATACCTGCTACAGCAGGTGGGCGATACCGGCCAGGGGTCAGCCGGTAGCATCCGGACCGAGCTTCTTCGATGGGCCAGTCACTGTGCCCCCCCTCCTGTCCCCTCCCCCTATGAACATCAGCAGTCTCTGCTCAATGCCACTCGGGGGGACCAACAGCATATCTCTAGGTGGCGGGCGCCAAGCGTGCCCAGGAAGGTGCATGAGGCCAATGGGCATTGAACCCAAGACCTCCTGAATGCCACTTGCGTGCCTTACCAACTGAGCTAGTTTCAATTGTGTCTGGGAATTTTTTGTCCAATTCCACTTGGCATCATGTTTAAGTCACTGGTAGCCTGGTCCCAAATTCCCAATTTGCTCGAGACAAAAAAAAAAGAAAAAAAAAAAGATCCGAACACGGTTCGGCAAGATAGACGTGGAAAGAGGCTTGGAATTCATCTGTGAATCTGTGATGTCTCTCTTTTTTGAAGTTTTTTCTATTCTGCTTTTTTTTTTTTTTTTCAGTTTTAACTTTTAAGTTTTAAATAAAAATAATGGTATTTCACTTGCGCTGTGAACATTTGCTTGCCGGTGATAAGCAACTGGACTACTGCCCCCAGAATAGACAGGGCCTCAGAGTTTTGAAAAAAAAAAAAGAAAAAAAAAAAGATCCGAACACGGTTCGGCAAGATAGACGTGGAAAGAGGCTTGGAATTCATCTGTGAATCTGTGATGTCTCTCTTTTTTGAAGTTTTTTCTATTCTGCTTTTTTTTTTTTTTTTCAGTTTTAACTTTTAAGTTTTAAATAAAAATAATGGTATTTCACTTGCGCTGTGAACATTTGCTTGCCGGTGATAAGCAACTGGACTACTGCCCCCAGAATAGACAGGGCCTCAGAGTTTTGAAAAAAAAAAAAGAAAAAAAAAAAGATCCGAACACGGTTCGGCAAGATAGACGTGGAAAGAGGCTTGGAATTCATCTGTGAATCTGTGATGTCTCTCTTTTTTGAAGTTTTTTCTATTCTGCTTTTTTTTTTTTTTTTCAGTTTTAACTTTTAAGTTTTAAATAAAAATAATGGTATTTCACTTGCGCTGTGAACATTTGCTTGCCGGTGATAAGCAACTGGACTACTGCCCCCAGAATAGACAGGGCCTCAGAGTTTTGAAAAAAAAAAAAGAAAAAAAAAAAGATCCGAACACGGTTCGGCAAGATAGACGTGGAAAGAGGCTTGGAATTCATCTGTGAATCTGTGATGTCTCTCTTTTTTGAAGTTTTTTCTATTCTGCTTTTTTTTTTTTTTTTCAGTTTTAACTTTTAAGTTTTAAATAAAAATAATGGTATTTCACTTGCGCTGTGAACATTTGCTTGCCGGTGATAAGCAACTGGACTACTGCCCCCAGAATAGACAGGGCCTCAGAGTTTTGAAAAAAAAAAAAGAAAAAAAAAAAGATCCGAACACGGTTCGGCAAGATAGACGTGGAAAGAGGCTTGGAATTCATCTGTGAATCTGTGATGTCTCTCTTTTTTGAAGTTTTTTCTATTCTGCTTTTTTTTTTTTTTTTCAGTTTTAACTTTTAAGTTTTAAATAAAAATAATGGTATTTCACTTGCGCTGTGAACATTTGCTTGCCGGTGATAAGCAACTGGACTACTGCCCCCAGAATAGACAGGGCCTCAGAGTTTTGAAAAAAAAAAAAGAAAAAAAAAAAGATCCGAACACGGTTCGGCAAGATAGACGTGGAAAGAGGCTTGGAATTCATCTGTGAATCTGTGATGTCTCTCTTTTTTGAAGTTTTTTCTATTCTGCTTTTTTTTTTTTTTTTCAGTTTTAACTTTTAAGTTTTAAATAAAAATAATGGTATTTCACTTGCGCTGTGAACATTTGCTTGCCGGTGATAAGCAACTGGACTACTGCCCCCAGAATAGACAGGGCCTCAGAGTTTTGAAAAAAAAAAAAGAAAAAAAAAAAGATCCGAACACGGTTCGGCAAGATAGACGTGGAAAGAGGCTTGGAATTCATCTGTGAATCTGTGATGTCTCTCTTTTTTGAAGTTTTTTCTATTCTGCTTTTTTTTTTTTTTTTCAGTTTTAACTTTTAAGTTTTAAATAAAAATAATGGTATTTCACTTGCGCTGTGAACATTTGCTTGCCGGTGATAAGCAACTGGACTACTGCCCCCAGAATAGACAGGGCCTCAGAGTTTTGAAAAAAAAAAAAGAAAAAAAAAAAGATCCGAACACGGTTCGGCAAGATAGACGTGGAAAGAGGCTTGGAATTCATCTGTGAATCTGTGATGTCTCTCTTTTTTGAAGTTTTTTCTATTCTGCTTTTTTTTTTTTTTTTCAGTTTTAACTTTTAAGTTTTAAATAAAAATAATGGTATTTCACTTGCGCTGTGAACATTTGCTTGCCGGTGATAAGCAACTGGACTACTGCCCCCAGAATAGACAGGGCCTCAGAGTTTTGAAAAAAAAAAAAGAAAAAAAAAAAGATCCGAACACGGTTCGGCAAGATAGACGTGGAAAGAGGCTTGGAATTCATCTGTGAATCTGTGATGTCTCTCTTTTTTGAAGTTTTTTCTATTCTGCTTTTTTTTTTTTTTTTCAGTTTTAACTTTTAAGTTTTAAATAAAAATAATGGTATTTCACTTGCGCTGTGAACATTTGCTTGCCGGTGATAAGCAACTGGACTACTGCCCCCAGAATAGACAGGGCCTCAGAGTTTTGAAAAAAAAAAAAGAAAAAAAAAAAGATCCGAACACGGTTCGGCAAGATAGACGTGGAAAGAGGCTTGGAATTCATCTGTGAATCTGTGATGTCTCTCTTTTTTGAAGTTTTTTCTATTCTGCTTTTTTTTTTTTTTTTCAGTTTTAACTTTTAAGTTTTAAATAAAAATAATGGTATTTCACTTGCGCTGTGAACATTTGCTTGCCGGTGATAAGCAACTGGACTACTGCCCCCAGAATAGACAGGGCCTCAGAGTTTTGAAAAAAAAAAAAGAAAAAAAAAAAGATCCGAACACGGTTCGGCAAGATAGACGTGGAAAGAGGCTTGGAATTCATCTGTGAATCTGTGATGTCTCTCTTTTTTGAAGTTTTTTCTATTCTGCTTTTTTTTTTTTTTTTCAGTTTTAACTTTTAAGTTTTAAATAAAAATAATGGTATTTCACTTGCGCTGTGAACATTTGCTTGCCGGTGATAAGCAACTGGACTACTGCCCCCAGAATAGACAGGGCCTCAGAGTTTTGAAAAAAAAAAAAGAAAAAAAAAAAGATCCGAACACGGTTCGGCAAGATAGACGTGGAAAGAGGCTTGGAATTCATCTGTGAATCTGTGATGTCTCTCTTTTTTGAAGTTTTTTCTATTCTGCTTTTTTTTTTTTTTTTCAGTTTTAACTTTTAAGTTTTAAATAAAAATAATGGTATTTCACTTGCGCTGTGAACATTTGCTTGCCGGTGATAAGCAACTGGACTACTGCCCCCAGAATAGACAGGGCCTCAGAGTTTTGAAAAAAAAAAAAGAAAAAAAAAAAGATCCGAACACGGTTCGGCAAGATAGACGTGGAAAGAGGCTTGGAATTCATCTGTGAATCTGTGATGTCTCTCTTTTTTGAAGTTTTTTCTATTCTGCTTTTTTTTTTTTTTTTCAGTTTTAACTTTTAAGTTTTAAATAAAAATAATGGTATTTCACTTGCGCTGTGAACATTTGCTTGCCGGTGATAAGCAACTGGACTACTGCCCCCAGAATAGACAGGGCCTCAGAGTTTTGAAAAAAAAAAAAGAAAAAAAAAAAGATCCGAACACGGTTCGGCAAGATAGACGTGGAAAGAGGCTTGGAATTCATCTGTGAATCTGTGATGTCTCTCTTTTTTGAAGTTTTTTCTATTCTGCTTTTTTTTTTTTTTTTCAGTTTTAACTTTTAAGTTTTAAATAAAAATAATGGTATTTCACTTGCGCTGTGAACATTTGCTTGCCGGTGATAAGCAACTGGACTACTGCC